ACATGCCTGTAATCCCAGCACTCAGGAGGCTGAGACAGGAGCTCACTATAAAGTGAGCTCAAGGACTGGGGATTTAGCTTAGTGGCAAAGTGCCTGCCTCACAAGTGCAAGGTTGTGAGTTTGATTCCTGGTACCAGAAGAAAAACAAAAACAAAAACAAAAAAAAAATAAAGTGAGCTCAAGGCCAGCCTGATCTGCATAGCAAGACCTTGTCTCAAAAAGACAAAAATAAAAAAATAAATAAAAATAAAACAATCCAAAAAATTGTATATAGTAATTAAGCCCCCAGTATGGCAATTTTAACCTCAGGGGAGAAAATTTCAAGAGGGTTGGGGGAAAAATAGAGAAATAGAAAAGATTACAAGCAAGGCTGGAGGACAAAGGAAGATTTCAAAATTCTGGGAAACTAGTGACGACAAAAGAAAAAGAAATTTAAAAAAAAGAACAGAACAACAAAAGAATTAGAACAATGTTCATACTCTATAAACACAAAAATAATCAACAAAACAAAAAAATGAAAAGAATGTCCACATCAAGGTGTGCCTGTCACTGGTAGACAGGGTAGGCAGACAGAGTCCAGATCAGGGTTGATTAACCCCAGCAAGCCAGCATAGATTTACAGCAGGGTAGTGGTAATCCCAGCGAAACTTTACTTAGTTCCACTGAGGTTCAGGCTGGTTTTTGTGGCTGAGAGGCTGGAACCCGACTTGTTCAGCCTGCAACACTGTGTGCCTCCTGCTGGCTTGAACTTGGCCTGTTGGCCTCTTGCTCACCTGATTCAGCAGCCTCACTTTGACACTGGAGCTGGTAGATGGAGCCAGCCTGCAGCTGTTCTGAGTTGCAAGCTCAGCTGGCCCCTTTCCAAGACGGCTGTCAGCCAGACACCCTCGGTGGCAGGGGGACGTCTGAACCCGAAAAGCCATGGCTTTCGCTGCATCCACTGCTCCACTCATTTCTCCACAGAGGCCTCTGGTGTCACCAGCAGTCACCATGCGGTTGCAGGGTCAAGCCATCCCTCCCAGTGAATCGGGCTCAGGGAGAAAGCACTGCCTGCCTCCTCCTCCTTTGTAGAAGTTTCTCCCTCCGCTCTCCCCATGGGCTTCAATTCTCACTTCAGAGCCTTCCTGGGTCCTGGAGACAGACGTCCCTCCTTCTTTCTCATGCCGCTATATTCCAGCATGTGAACACCAAGTTTCAGAGAGGCACTTTCTGTGTGTTCACCACTCTGCCATCTCCCTGGAAGTCTTTTTTTTTTCTTCTTTTTAATCTTTTAAGACAGGGTCTCACTATGTAGTTCAGGCTGGCCTTGAATTATGTAGTCTACATCGGCCTTGAACTCACAGCAATCCTCCTGCCTCAGCCTTTAGAATGCTGGGATTACAGGTGTGGCCATCACCCCTGGCTCCAAACACCATTTTTTTTGTAAGTTCCATTTTCCACTGGGTATGGCGGCACATACCTGTTTCACACACAGGACTTCAAGAGGCTAAACCAGGAGGACTAAGTTCAAGCCCAACCTGGGCAACTTAGCAAAATTTAGCAAGACTGTCTCAAAAAATAAAGAGTAAAGGGCTGGGGATATAGTTCAGCGTGGAAGCCCTGGGTCCAACCCTCAGTACTGGAGGTGGATGAAAGGGGGTACTGACGCCTGAAGGAATCACTGATTCCAAGGATCAACGCGAGTGTGCTGGTGAAGAAACAGCCACCGGACAACAGAAAGAGCCAACATGGCTCAACCTGAGAGGTAAGAAGGGCACTGATTGGATCTAACACACTGAAAGACACAAATGTGTGGGCAAGCCATGGATGAAATACGTAACAGGAAAGAAAATGCCTTTAGAATTTCAATGAAAGCAGAAGGGATGACTGGCATAGGAAACCGTAAGGCAAACTTCACACTAGTAATTGTCTCAGAAAAGAACCATGAATGTCTGCTAGTTAGTGGACAAAATGCAGGAGCAACAGGGAGTGTCCAGACACGCCCCAGAAGACACAAAGGGAAGAACAGCGGCGCAGTGGGGAAACGTGAGGGACACCAGAGGCCAGCAAAGCCGACGTCAGCTGTTAGCACAAGAGACGGGATGCACTCAGCGGTGGAGCACTTGCCCAGACACTCGGGAGGGTTCAGTCCCCAGCACTGTCAAAATAAAAACCTTACTGGAAACAGAAAAAATTCAACTCACCAATATACACCATCCGTTTTGTGGTATTCTTCTCCAAAACAACAAAAAACCCCAATGTACTGAATTTAATAAGGAAGTATTAGGCAAACCCTACATTGACAGGTCCCTTACAAATAATTGGCCTGTTCCACCCATGCAGGTACTAACCAGACCCGACCTTGTTCAGCTTCCGAGACGAGATCAGTTGCACTCACGATGTTATGGCCGTACACCTGTTCTTTTCAAGGTAATGAAAGATAAAACATCACACCAGCACCATCCCTATAACCACAGATACTCAGTAGGCTGAAGCAGGAGGATCTCAACTTTTGAGGCCAGCCTGGTCAATATCGCAAGACCTTGTCTCAAACAAAACTAAATATTGACATATGTTCTGATTAAAGAGATGACAAGGGCCAGGTGTGGTGGTGCACACATGTAATCCCAGCACTTAGGAGGCTGAGGCAGGAGGTTTGTTGAGTTCAAGAACAGCCTGGGCTACAAAGTGAGCTCAAGGCCAGCCTGAACTGCATAACGAGACCCTCTCTCAAAAAGATGATAAACAATGGAGGGGTAATGAAGTGGAATTTGCACTAGGAGTATATTTATAGGGCAAATGGCGAGACCTGAAGATCTACAAAGTAATAGTATAAGGTAGTATAACAAAAAAAAAAAAAAAGGTAGTATAACAGATAATACTGTAATAATATTGAAACTTTTGATCTTCACAATTTTCCTGTAGCTATGTAAGATGTTAACATTTGAAGAACATGAACAGAGGGTATATGGAAATACTCTTAATAATTCTTACAATGTGGAATCTTTTATTTCAAAGTGAAGTCCAAAACAATTAAAACGCAGTATCTTCACTTACCCAGGAATCCCTCCACCGGTATGCCAACCCAACCTTGATATAATACTTGAAATTCAGAATTTCATTTGTAGTTAAACTAATACCTGATGTGTTCTCAAATAGAACTGGGCTGCTCTAACCATGTGGCATTAAAATTCAAAACAACAAAAGGAATGAACATTGGGCATCTGTATTATAGTATACAGATGGGAAGGCAAAGTGTCCTATAATCCCAGCACTTGGGAGGGTAAGGCTGGAGGACTACCAAGTGTTCAGGACCAGCCTGGGCTACATACTGAGTTCAAGGCCAGCCTACATTACAAAGTGAGACCCCCATCTCAAAAAAAAAAAAAAAAAAGCCAAAAAAAAAGAAGCAAAATGACTAAAAATATGTACCAAAAAATGACCAGGACAAGTGGGGGATATTAATTTGTGGGGAGCAAGCAGAGGTAAAAGGCAGAAACAACTCTTCAAATATTTGACAAAAGCTTCCGGCTGGCTTGCTCCCTGCCTTGTAGGCCTCCGGCGCACAGGAAGCCATGGGCCAGTCTTCTGGCTGGCTTGCTCCCTGCCTTGTAGGCGCCCAGGGAGCCACGCTGCGGGGGCGAGCACTGTTGCGCACCATCCCTCAGGCCGGCTGCCGCTGCTCAATTGAGAACAACCATGACACAGAGAAATAATGACACAATTGGCCCACCATGCACCGGCTGCAGATGCCCACCCACGGACGTGTGTGAACCATTCAAACAAATACATGCCATGCAATGGGTCACTCTTGCTCCTGCCATTGAGAACCAGAAAGGTCCAGAGTCAGCGGAGGAGCAGCTGCTGAACAAGGACTCAGAGAACATGAGAATGCAGACTAAGCCCACGGAGTCAGAGGTTCTGTGGACTGGGGTCATGAGAGCCACTCAGAAGCTGTAAACCAGGAGGACCTTGCACAATACCTGCAGAGACTCCCTGGAAGCCATTCTTCCCGACAGTACAGGCTGTGGTGGAGCTCCGGAGAAGTCTGCAGCAGGATTCTTGCTGCCTCTACTGATAGTTGGGGAGAGGACACTAACTGGTTGTGGGGTCCCAATGTGATGGGAGGCTGGAGAGAAAACGCTACAAAAAATGGCTTTGGCCCCAGATGGCTCACTTGATTTTTGACAACCCTTAGGCTGTAACTACTTGTTAGCTCCTTCTTGCGTATCTGTCTTCCTGAGAAACCACTTCCAAGATACCACCATGTATTACAGCAGCCATTGATATTTTCCTACTAATCTATCCATAACTCTTCAATGTTTGTATTGTTCCTATCCTATTTCGTAAATGGATGCATGTCTATCATTATGTGTTTCCTACAACAACCATTGAGAAAGTTAATGATTATTCAACAGGTCACTCATGTGTAGCTCTATTTTCTTTAGAAGCCACTTTGAAGATACCAAAGTACAGTACAACAACTATTGATAATCTCCTACCTCTTTTGTCTGTAGCTATCATTTGTCTATTTGTGTTCCTGAGAAACTATCTTGTAGATAACAATATGTAAAACAATAACCATTGATAATTTCCTACCACTTTGTAATTTGGTAAGCCCCCCCCCCATCATTGTTATCCTTCTTTTACTCTTTAAAATAAACAAATATTTGACAAAAGCCACTGAAAAAGCAGAGTTTGTTGTATGTATACTACACTCATAATTCTACATATAAGACAGAAGACACTAGTAAATACTTTCCAGCCCTTAATGATTCTCAAGGGTACACTTAGTAGAGGACAGACAATCCCTTGCACTGGAAAAGGACTTGGGTTACAGCTATTTCAATCTGAGATACATGAACTGTATGTGCTGAGTTAGGTGGACTCTAATAACTAAGAATTTTTAATGATTTCCCTTTACTTTAGCCAACAATCTGAGCAAGAGCAGCAACACTTCATCTGTCTCAACTTCTATAAAAAACTGCAATAATTAAGTGAAACACAAAATAAGAACATAATTGAGCTTGACAAAATTTATTGGTTATTTTAGTAAAGACATTCATCTCAGTCATTTCTCTCTCCTCATCTTGACCTTACATTAGTATTTCATTTGGGTCAAGAACAGAGTATGTAGGAGAGGGATGTTATTTTAACAAACAGTAAAATGGACAAAAATGAGTAAGTTTGCCTACATAAAAGTAAGTTAAATTCATGTATCTTGATATAATTAAATCATGTAAGAACTAATAGTTCTATATACATTTCCATTGTTTTACTTGGGGCTTAATCTGAACTTTAATGTGAAAGAACAACTTATTAGGCATATGCACAGGTTTCTTCTCTGGAGTTACTACCTATTAAAAAAGATCAGCAAGTAACTACCACCAATGAAATAGTCTGAAGCTGCCTCCAAATTTAACATTGTAGGAATTCTGAAGGAAATCACTATTATCATTTTTCTTTTGTCCATGACTATGCTTTTAAAGATGTGTTTAACTGTCATAGTAGAAAGTCCATATACAATACAAAAATACAAAACAAACAGCTTACAGTACAGATTTAAGAGTATATGTGATGAGCAATTCCATAAACTGTGTCTGAAGATGCACTTTCTTTCCTTTTGTTTTCAGTACCTACAATATGCTTTTGAGAGGCCACTGGTCAGTATGCGTATACTTCAAATAAACCCCATTAACTGTTCTAGTAAGAAATTCTGTAATGACTTCAATTCAAATTATATTTAACAACTTAGTAACATAAACACACAGAC